ACACTTCAATTTGTGCACAATGTCATCATCCACAACATTCATGTTCATCGTATTGTTACATGTCAAGGGGGCCTAGTCAGAGACTCCACAGATCATTTCGGTTTACGAACAGTTGCTGATGGAGATGGAATTTCCATCTTTGGATCATCAAATATCTGGCTTGATCATATTTCGATGTCTGAGTGTCAAGATGGACTCATTGACGCAATACAAGGTTCCACCGCCATCACCATCTCAAACTGTCATTTCACCCATCATGACCATGTAAGTTTCACTTTAAAATACTGAAGATGCACATATTTTATATCCCAATTTTCAGTAGAGTAATCATGTATTTCTCTTTTAGGTGATCTTGTTGGGCGGAAGCGAATCATTTGAAAAAGATCAATATATGCAAGTCACACTTGCATTCAACCATTTTGGTAAGGAATTGGTACAAAGAATGCCTAGATGTCGATGGGGATTCTTTCATGTCGTCAACAATGACTACACTCACTGGAAAATGTATGCCATTGGTGGCAGCGCGCATCCTACCATTGTTAGCCAAGGCAATAGGTTCATTGCTCCAAATGACCCCAATGCTAAAGAGGTAATGAAAATATAATTAAATGATAGATAACATAAGTAATTCTGTAATTGCATAAAAAACAATGATGTTACCATAAATGTATATGTGACTGTACCTCTAATTTCTGTTTGTTCATTGAATTTCTACAGATAACTAACAGGAACTATGCGCCAGAATCAGAATGGAAGAATTGGTTATGGACATCAGAAGGAGATTTGCTGATGAATGGAGCCATCTTCACAACTTCTGGGACACCTCCAACTTCTGGTTTTAAATTTAAGAAGAAGGAAATCATCAAAGCCAAGCCTTCAACGTTCGTTAGAAGATTAACTCGTTTTGCAGGGACGCTTAAATGCAAAGAAGGATCCAAGTGCTAGAAGTAACTATCAATTCTATGAACATCTACAATTTTTCTTCTTTCTTCACGTGTAAGAAGATTATAATCTTCTCTAAAATATGTTAATATGAAAAGAAGATTTTAATCTTCTCTAAAATATGTTAATATGAAATGGATTACCACGATATATAAATGAAATCAATGTGGTTTTGTCTTAAATTTAACAAAATCAATTCTTCAAATGTAAAAACAAAACTAAAATGATATTAAAAAAATCCTACTTGGCTTTATATGTTATTATTTGCTAGTAATATAGATAAACTACAAATTTGATCATTCAACTTTCACATCATTCCTATTTTGATTACTAAATTTTATAAAATTTTAATTTAAACATTCAACTTTGATATTACTACATTTTTAGCCACTTCACCATTAAATCATAAATGGTTTAATGATGTGGTGTTTTACGCCAAAAATAATATTGTTTTAGATCCTAAAAAAATAAATTTATATCAAAACAATATCGCTTTAGATCCATATAAAAGTCATTTTTTAAACTTTTTCTTCTTCTTTTCTTCCTCCTTTTTCTCTCTTTATCCGAACCAATTTAGATTCTAACCATCCCTTGCCACAATCAACCTGCATTGGCCATCATTTCGACCATCGTCGACCATCGTGATCATTGGTGATCAATGAGTCGTAAAATTTTCTATCAAACTCATTTATCCCTCCTAAATATGAATTTTGTATCCATTTAACCAGAAAACACCTCAAACTCATCAAATCTAGTATTGAACGCTTCGGTTTCTTATTCTTTAATCTCTATCGTTTATTATCGGATGGAGCTCGGGTGGAGATATATTGCTCCCTGCCCTTAGAGGAGCTTTACCACCGTTGTGATCTTCAAATGAAGGCTCTGGTCACTAAAGATCCACCAAAATTGAAAAGTGAACTTTTTTTTGTTATTTTTTTATTCAAGCTAACTCTGTTGAAATATTAAAGTGTGTTACCCATAAGAATCTTAAGACAATATCAAAGATTAAATGGATTGTTGTTGATATTAAACTCTTGTTGCAAAAGTTGTATGTATTAAGAATAAAATCTATAAATTGTCAAGCCAATAAGACAACAGATTACATTGTAGTCCAATGTAAAAAAGATGTGGTTAGGTTGCTTAACAAGACACCATCTTCGTTTTTGCATGTGCTAATGTGATGAATGGTTTAGCTATAATGGTTGAAGTAACAGTAAGAATGGGTGTTCGATTAACGGTTGATTTGAGATGAAATAAAGTGAAACATAGAATGCGAATGATAGACAACGAAATGAGTGGTCGATAGAGATGATGAAATTATTGGGAAAAAAGATAAAATGGAAAAAAGAAAACATGAGATGGACAATATGTGGTTTCCACGTCAACAAAAAATAGATCACGTCTTCACATTGTTTGTGATTTAATGATTGAGTGACCAAAACAAGAGCAACACCACAGTTGAGTGATCAAATAAAAAAATAAAGTTTAAGGACTAAACCATGAGTTAGATTAAAATTGAGTAGTGAATTTTGTATTTTATCCTTACTATCGTTGAGACTTTTTCTATACCATCTATGTTTGGTCCCGCAAGACATAAACCGATAGTCCTATCCTTTTTTCTTATATATTTCTTCTATTTCTAGTACTATTATAATGTTCTTTTAACTATGAATATAATCCCGAGCAAATATATTTGGCTTGTTGGTTAAACTGTTTATTTTTATTCTCTCATATTCTCTTAGATTATGAGTCTCAAATCTATTAAGAGTGCTCTCATTTCTTCTTTTAGAGTCATTTTCCTTCCCCTTTAAGTACAATTAGGATTAAATTTATAATTTATAAAAAATTCTAAAAATATAATCTCATATTGTAGTATCGAAGATTTAATAGTTTCACATTAGATTTTTTAATTCATAACATATGTAATGGTAAAATTCAAGTTTAAATGCATTTAAAACTCACTTTGATCCAATGAAAGAAACTAGTTTAAATTCATAACATATATAATTGTATAAGTAATTTTGTAACCATTTGGGAATTTAATGACCATTATATAATATTTAAAAGTTTTCTGATCAAAAAGAGAATATTTGACATAATTTAGTGATTTATGGTATACTTTACCCTTTAAAATTTGGAGGTCTAATCGTCACCTCATCTTGCTGTTTCCGTTATCCGTGCCCGCCTCCACGTCATCAATTCAGTAATGAATCTAACGGCTCAGCTTTCCCCTTCCTTTCCCAATAAACCGTCCAAACGGACGCCGTTTATCTCGATTCTAATTAGGGATGACAAAAGGGTATAATTTCGTGGATTCCGTACCACACCCGCTCTAATTAGGGCGGGGATTGGTATAACATTAGTGGATAGTGGGCGGTTGTGGATTTAGAAAGTGGTACCCGTCGCGGGTAGTGGACGGGTAATGGGTTTGAGACCTTACACGTTTTGCATCCGCTCGCCCAGCTAAATATCTATTAAATTTCGGACCATTATGAATTTAGGTGTAATTTTATAGACTAATTTATAAATCATAATATTGTATAAGATATAACTTGTAATTTAACCAAATATTATGGATAAGTTTATTCATAAATTTTTTTCTTTCAAACCTCTCGTTACTGCGTCGATCTTTCAAACTTCTGGTCTCTACTCTCCAGCTTATTTAGGTACGTTTATTCCCTTTTTACTTGAAATTTAATTTTTGTAAGAGCCATTTCCGTAGTCATTTCGTTTTAAGCCCTCTACATTTCGTTTTAAGAGTTTAATTTTTATTTGCTCGTACTGGTTTTTAATTATTTTTTAGATTCATCTCAATGTTTGTTTTAAGTTTAATTTCTTAATGTTCTACAAATTAGTATCTTGTCATTGAATACCCACGTTTTAGGCCAACAAAATCAGATCGTTGCTTCTCAAACCTTCATTTTTAATGCCACTGAATAGAATTAAGTGTTAAGAGATTCAATGTATTCCTTGTGATATTATTTTCCCATGTTCTTGTCCCCAAAATTAAATTTATATATATTTTTTCTTTTACTAACTGTAGAGTGGTCATTAGAATAATGACATAAAAAATTTATATAGAGTCAAGTAAGCATTTTTTTTGGAATGTGTCAAGTAAGCTTTTTTAGTTCGGTATAATAATATCATTTGTTTTTTGCTTTTAATTTCTACCGAGAATTCTGTTTTAGGCACCTCCTAAGCTATATCTTGAAATAAAACACCAAATTTACTGTTTTTCTTACTGCTAACATATAAATAGAGGAGTAAATGAATGTTTTCACATTTACTTATGATAAGTAAATGCATTGAAGAGAAATCTTTGTAATGATATGGTTGTCTTATCGTTTATGGTTAAAAGGCTTCTATTTTAGAAGGTCTTAAATCATCTTAGTTTGTTTTGACAAAACTTATATGTTCTCAGCTTTTGTTTTAGTTAAATTCGATGATATTTTCTCATAATTTTGATGGAGTAGTTTAGTTCAAAGAAAGCAGATGATAGGGAAATATAAATATATAATGTCATTGAATCATATGCGTGTAATTCAATTGCCCTTTCTTATTTTACTAAAAAACATATTCTTTTCTAATTCAATATAGATTTTCTTGTTGGATAACATAGTTATAATTTCTAAAGCAAACCAAAGATACGAGAAGATTATTGCCTAACATATTTATTCAAGCGAAATATGATCTGAAAGCCCCATACTGAGTTATCACCGATCGTTGGTCTGAGCGTGAAGTACGAAACAATACACTCATATATGATGCATTTTCTATTCTCATATTTGGTTGAAATCATCATGCATTTATCGAAGAATCACTGTTGTTGGATAGTGGGTGTGAGGATAGATTTGAGAATGTACCTGCGTGGACCGGTGTAGATTTAAAATTTTTTACTCATCATAGGTGATGGCAGGTAGTAAATTAAAAAATATTAGGAGATATGAAGATGAGAAGGGGTATTCGCACCCGACCCGCCCGTTTGACATCCTAATTCCAATTTCTTCTCTTATTTCTCTCTTTCTTCACATTTTCCTCCAAAAAAAAAAATCCTCGAGAATTCATGTCGGTATGTAATCTTTTCGGGATTTTGTTTCACTTTTCATTTCTGTTTAAATTCATTAATAGAAAGGTCTAATTTTGTTATGTGATTTAATATTTTTTTTAGTTTTGAGCTTTGGGTTGTTTTGATTCATATAGTTTTTGGGTTTCTTATTCTGGGTTTTAAATGAAAATTTCATTTTGCTGCTGATGATCAGAGTTCTAAATTTACCTTTTGCATCTTTTGGTAACTGCTTTCTTTGATGTGTTTTGCAGTTTTTTCTGTAAAATGGATTTTTTTCCTTTTTGTTTTATTTAACTGGTGAATTGTATACTTTAGCCATTTATTAATGTACTGACATGATTTACGGTTTGGATTTTTCTTTTTTCTTTTTTTGGAAGAGTGATTTATATTGAATGATGGAATGTATTGGCAAATGGGTGAATTGTCTCGACGTGTTTGTAGAATATTTGTCTGAATATGATTCAAGAAGGTTTGATTAAGTATCACTGATTTTGTGTGGAAAATGTAGTTTCTGATTAATTGTTGAAGCTGTGAAGTAGGGAGTGATAAGCTAGGTTTGTGATAAAGCTCTTTTCAGAACTCATCCAGTGTCTAGATATTGAAGGACGCTCAGCAGAGAAAATTAGCTTTTCTTGGAGGTTTCAGAAGCCATGTCTTGTTACTTATGTCTTATTGGATATCTAATCTGCAAATAGCAGCTTGATTGTGCATGTCGTAATCCAGAAATTTGTTCACATTCTGAAATAGATGAATCTTTTCGCATTAAATTGGTCAGCACTAAGTAATTAGAGTTCTTTATGGGATCTCTGACACCGTATATTTTGAAAGATGTTACTAAATTGTGCTTGGTATATGCATGACTTACTACTATTTTGATACTTTATGTAACTTCGTGTTCGACTTTTTTGCAGATTCCTTTTTGTCTTGTTGCTGGATAAGTTAAGCGTTTCACTGTATCTTTCCAAGAATTTGATTATTTCATGTTATCTGGTTGTGGCTTCATATTGATAATGCAAATTATTTTATGTGGTCATTTTTATCTCCATGAATGGTCATTGTGATTTATATTCAATTATTGTTCATGTGGAGGCTCTCTGTTTGAACTGTGTAATTTATACTGTTGCTATTTTGTCATGGCTTTCTTTCATTGTTCTACCCACGTAACATCCCCCTTGAATAAAGATTGTTATGTCGGTGATTATAACTTTGTTTAAAATACTTATTTCAAAAACCATTTATGATTTTTTGTTTGATATCCTATTAAAAATTGTGATTGCGATGACCAGGCCTTTTGGAGTGCTTTCTCTAGAGCAATAACCAGTGTAACTGTTCAGTTAATTTGAGCTACACTGTTTATTTAGGTTTTTAATAATGCAAGCTGCAACATGCCTTTTTAGCCACACTGTGCTATGAATCTGACAATGTGATCTAAGCTCTGCTGAGTCGCATTTGTTTGTTCTGTTTTTTTCCTCTTTTAGTAATCATTATCATATATTATTAATGATAATTGTCGTTTTGTTGTCAAAATAATTCTTTATTCTCAATCAATAAATTAAGGAAATGCGTAGCAAGGAGAAGTAAGGGTCGATTCCACAGGGACTTAGAAAATTATAAATTTCTGTCTGAATTATTTATGTCAGGCGTGAAACAGTAAAAATGGAGGGATTTTAGTAAAGATAATAAAGTGATTAAATAAAAGTAATTAAAGTAAAAATAAGAAGGTGAAGATTGTGAATAAATACGGTAAAAGTAGCCTCAAGCTTCGCTTTGATTCAATTTCCTTTAGATCATCGAATAAGATTTTCTCTTCGGGATTCACGTCGGTTATTTTGTCTACAAGGGCTATCCTTGTGACTCTATCTTGTATATCGAATACCCAAGGTAATCTTTGATTCCGGCTTCGGTAGTTGATTCTAACAACATCTATTATCGTAGATCAAATACCGTTTAAGTTCGTGGCGACCGACTCGGATTGTTGTTTCTATAACCGTCAATTCCGATCTCAATTCCCTCTTGGCGAAGCTATCTCGCCAAGTGTGTTCCCAGGAAGTCGAATTGCTTTCTATAAGCCGAATCTTCCTCCCACACGTTTAATCGCAACAACTTCTTGACCAAAGTCAATCTTCGATTTTGAAAACTGTTTTGATTTTGAAAAATAAGCGCAGAGATTGAGAGAGAGATTCCGAAGATATTAAGGGACCGTTTCAATTCTCCCGTTGGAATTGAATCATCGCGACAGCTCTCGGCTTATGAAAAGTTTAGCTAAGCATGACAAAAGTCATACTTAGCATAAAAAAAACTTGAAAATAAAGAAAAATAAAAGAACTTGAAATGGAAAAGAGAAAACTTTTATAAAAACTAGAGAGAAAAGAAGAATGTATTCTGAATGATGAGTTTAGGCTTACCCCAAGTGGGTATTTATAGCCTCTCAAAGCCTAAAGGATATTAAGGGACCGTTTCAATTCTCCCGTTGGAATTGAATCATCGCGACAGCTCTCGGCTTATGAAAAGTTTAGCTAAGCATGACAAAAGTCATACTTAGCATAAAAATAAAACTTGAAAATAAAGAAAAATAAAAAAGAACTTGAAAAGGAAAAGAGAAAACTTTTATAAAAACTAGAGAGAAAAGAAGAATGTATTCTGAATGATGAGTTTAGGCTTACCCCAAGTGGGTATTTATAGCCTCTCAAAGCCTAAAGGATAAACAAAGAAAATAATAAAATAATACAAAAGATAATTGTTTTTAAATTTAAATTCAAACTTAAACTAGTCTCCTAATGCAACTTTGCTCGTCAATCTTCCAGAAGGCGTGCAGACGAAGTCTCCTAGAAACCGCCGCTGACTGGACCTTCTAGAAACTGCCATGTCAGACAGCGTCGTGCCCAGAGTCGTGTCCATGTCTCCAGCCGTGACCAAATAATAAAAAAAATGCAGAATTCGCCCGTTTTATCACCAATTCTGGAAAGTAAGGACCTGCACGAAAATAGACATAACACAACCAAATCAGCAGCAATAACTTCACAAAATCGAAGAAATAACGAACATATATTAACGATTCTGAACACTCATCAAATTCCCCCTCACTTATCTCATGCTTGTCCTCAAGTATGATTAACCAAATCAGTCAAAAACTTCATTAAACGTTCTTTGTCAAGTTTCATATTCAAGGAAGCAAGGTAGAGACCACAATAACTATTGAAGTCAAGAAATCAATCAACTGAACATCACCAATTGAAACAAGTCAAGTGCAATTGTAATATCCATTCATTCATAAATCTCAATGCTCATAACTCAATACCTTACCGGGATTCACTCAAATCACTCAATGTGTTTGGGGTAAAGAAACGCTCAATGTCAGAATCGACACGATATTACCATAAGCCTGCAAGTAAATCAAATCTCCACTACTAATAAGAACAAGATGCATAAATCAAAGGGTCTTTTATTGGTTGTAACGTGGCTTAGGTAAAGGTAAGGAAAAGGCTAAATATATGGCTAAAATTCAAGGCAATGAACTAACAAATAATAATCTCAACTCCATCAAAACATTAAGCACAACAAGATAAAAAGACGACATATCAAACAACAATTTTCTCGTCGAAATGCATTTTTTCTTTTTCACACTTTTGTTGTTTTGTTTTCCATTTTTTCTTTCATGTCCTTTTTTTCGAACATTTTTTTTTCTTTTTCGAACTGCTATTTTTTTTCAACATTTTTTGTGATGGAGAATACAATGGTAAAATTATTCACTTGCCCTGAAAAAGGTAGAAAAGAGGGATAAAATAAAAAGGCTCGGGTTTATGAATATGGTGGAAACAAAGAAATGGAAATTGGCTCAAAAGTGGTTAATTAAGGGAAAATATGCATGGGTAGGCTATTTAGTGGGGAAACGGAATGATTAATCCTAAGATGCCCAAATCATTTTTAAGCATCATGTTCATGTGTAATCTCGACAGTATTTAACATGCAGGTTCTAGAATGCCAATGTCAAATTCGACACATTCAATCAAACAAAATGAGAGCGAAAATGATATGCTCGTAAAGGGTCAAATCTCACCAAATTGTTTTCATGCATTGAGGTAATCACATTTCAACCAAAAAAATCATGGAATATCACAAAAATACCAACTTATCAGAATCCATGCTATCCATTATCAAGAATATCATAACCTAAATAATCATGTGTTCCCAAAAAAGCATAGCATTCCAAAAATTTTCACCAAGACAAAGACATTCAATGAAATTTCTGACCAATTCAACTAACACATACTAGATTCAAAGCATAAAGACAAACAGAAGGAAATTCAATCCTACACTCTACTCCCTCTCACTTAAAGTGTTTTGCCTCAAAACAAAAAATTAAAATACAAGAGAAGGAATAGAGTACTCCCCTGATCTAGTGTCGACCGCGACCACGGCCTCGGTCGCGATGAGACGTGCTAGGACGGAGGTATGAGAGAATTTCTGTGATGTTCGTCTCGATAGAGTGGAGGCGGTCGTGTAATTCATGCATTTGTGACTGCATATCTGGGCGTGGTGCTGCAGGAGGTGGCGCTGGTGTGTTTCGACGAATGAAGACTCGCCGAAGTAAGGTGCAGTTAGGGTTCCGGCAAGTAGGCCCATTGAATCCAAGCAACGCTCATCTAAAGCATCTGTAGAAAAAGCATAAGTAAATCGTGTTACATCAAAGTGAGCGTTGCGAGAAGCTAAATGTGTAATGCAAGGGCCAAGGATAAGTGGGCGGTTGGATCGGATAACGATCTCAAAAGCCCGAGCAAACCAAAATCCTAGGTTCACATGCTCGCCGGAGGACATGCACCATAAAAAGAATAGCTCGACTCGGCTTAAGGAGGACGATGAGTCATTCCGGCCAGAATAGTTGTAAGCGAGGAAGCGATGGATATAGCGCAAGGCCGGGTCGTGGATAAGGTGGGCTCGCGTCGAGCGGGCGTTGAATGGTTGTTCGGCTAAACCTGTGAGCGCCTCATAAGCTGTATCGGCAT